TGGCTGGCATGTGGTGCTGGGGGATTGAACCGCGGTCCCTGATGCTTTTGCTAAGCTTGTTCTAAGTGGGTGCTTTAGACCACTGAGCCATCTCTCCAGCCCAAGGTCTAGCATTCTAAGAATGCTATTTACCTTTCAAAATATGAAGTGATTGATCTCCCCAAAGGGTTACATTAAAAGCCAAATACAGTAGCTAGGTAGCTTTAAATAGTTTACATCATTTAAACAAAAGCTACTCCAGAATTGTATGTATGTATGTATGTATGTATGTATGTGTGTATGTAGGTATGTTTGTATTTTGGTACAGGATCTCACTATGCAGCTCAGACTTGTAGTGATCTTCCTGTTTTTAGCTTCCCAAGTGCTAGGATTACAGGTGTGTGTCAACACACCTGGACTCAGTCACTGGCTCAGTGCGCCCAGGGCACCACACGTGGTGCCAGGGATTGAACCCTGGTCCCTATGCTTGCCTAAGCAGGTGTTTAGCCTGCTGAGCTATCTCACTGGCCCTTAATCCAGAACATTTTAAAAAATTAACAGAAGAGAAATTTGCCTGATGTTTCTTTAAAGTCTTTTTAAAAGTCCCTACAATCACCTGGCAACCCTGATTAGTTTTGCTACTCTAGGAAAGAAATCTATAGAGAACACTGTCTAAGAAACTCTAGTTCCAAATGCTTTATATCAGAAGCTGCTTGTTACCCAAAGATTTAAATTCCAAATCTAGGTAGATATAAAATTCCCTAGGGATACAACTGTGACAATATGATAACACTCCCTTAGTTGGTCACATACGCAACTATCCTATTCCCATCCTCTCCCTGTGGACACCAGGGGCTATCTTTGCCCTCTACCATAAAGGTCTTTATCAGACAACTGAACAAAAAGTGAAACTGTAAGTGCTGTAAAATATATAGGAATTCATGTGAAAGATATAGGTCACGCTAGAGGCCATCTGGTATCACGCACAGAGTGATGGCAAGAAATGTGACACAGGTAGATCAGTTAAGCTGAAGGAGAAAACAGCAGGATGATCTCTTTTATGCATACCATTTTATAGTCCAAGAAAAATCATTTTGAATTAGCCCAGCAACACAACCCATATAACTACACTCACTTAACTGACGGCATTGCTAATTAATCTAACCAGTATGGAGCTTGGCTCAAGATTATCAGGAGGGGGGAAATAAAGTTCTTTATAGCTGAATGAGAATGTCTCACTTTCAAAATTTTACAAGTAATTTTAAAATGTATATAGTTAAAAATTTGAAAACTATGGTTTTTTATCTCATGTGGGCTTTAATCAGTGTCACCCTAGCAAATCAGAAGCATCATCAGCAGGCTTATCTATGGCCTCTCTGTTGTTGAACAGTCACTAATGAATACTTTCATAATGAAACTTATATTGGCTCTAAATAACCACAAGTTTTTAATCTTCAAAGGCGAAGGTAGATGCTTGACATCAACAAATAATTGGTTTCACCCCTTATTTTGGATGAGGTAACTGTGATTGCATCAGCATTCTGCTTTAGTCTACTGATTAGAGTTATAAGTTTTAGAATGACTGGATCAGGTTTTTCTCACTCCTGTTCCTCATTTGCTTTCATTTAAATGAGTAAGTAAAAGCTTTGTAGGAGGTGAAAGGGATCGCATAAGAAACGCACAGACTTTACATCCAGTCCCAGATCACTCAAATATACACACAATATTCCAGGAGTGGTGATTTTAGAACACTAGAAATCTAATGCCTTTTGATCCAGTGAACTAAAAACATTAAAAAAGTAACAGAAACCAGTGGGTTTACTAGTTTAACTTACTAAGGTTAAACCTTAAATATTAATCACTTTCAAAGTAACACGGGTAGAAAATGTTACTAAAACTATCCTGCTTACTACAATTCTACCATAATCTACAGAAAACAGGCATTGAAAACTTGAATTCTGAGGAAGTTTGTTATACAGATTAAAAATCCAGCATTCGCAAAGGTGAAACTGCAGCTAGCATTCACTAGTATGTCTGTATTGTCATTAAGTATTGAAATATCTACCTCTTGTTGTATAATGGCTCTCCAAAATGCCTAATAACATTCCTTTTCCCTAGAGAGCAGAATCCCTTGCCCTTGAGGATGTCTCCAAGCAACTAAGTCAATGAACCAATGAACTTCTCAGGGCAGGGCCTCTAGGACTGGGCTCCAATCAGGGCTTCTACTTTTACTGGCTGGTTCCCACCCCCACAGTAGCCATGAAACATTTTAAACCTCAAACTGGCTCTTGTATCATCATGATTTCATGGCACTCGTGTGTCCTTTGTTGTTTGGCTATATATATTTACCTGTGGGAAATACAAAAGAATTTTCTGTCCTCAATAAAAAAATTTGACCTTTATATAGATTTTATTCAAACAGAAATTTTTTATTTTCATTGGATACGAAATGCAACAGTTTCCAACTAATCCAAATAAGACATACATACCTTTGTTGTCAGCAGCAATGAAGCCAAGGATGTTTTCATGTCGAAGCATAACTGTCTGATAAATTTCTGCCTCACGAAACCAAGACCTTTCATCTCTGGAGGAGAATATTTTCACAGCCACGTCTTCTCCACACCATCTTCCGTGCCACACCTCACCAAATCTACCTTTTCCCACTATTTCCTGAAGTACAATTGTCCTTGCGATTGTTCGCTGAACCAAAAGAGGCAGTCCTAATAGAAAAGGTGGAACTGTTAATTAGAAGTAAACAGCAGGCAAGAACTGTCATGGTGACTTTCTTCTCGCTTAAAAAAAAAAAAAAAACGTAAACACTACCAATTTTATCATATTTGAACAAATAAGCATAATGATTGCAAAGTTTGCTGTCACAGCAGGCTAAGGAAAATACTCTAAAGTATGAATATGAATTGTATTCTCTCCCCCAAAATTTTCTGGAGTTAAGTCTGTTGCTGAATTTATCTGACTTCAAATAATTGCTGTAAATTTCCCTGAACTGTCTTTCACTGGTAGTCATAAATGAGAAAATATATTTCAACACCTAAAATTAAGTATATGGTTCCTGGTACAACTGGGAAAGCAAAAGAATTCTTCCTGAATTTTTTCAAACCAAATTAAAATTTAAAGGTAAATAATTCAATTCAATGAGTTAGGTAATGATGTTTCACTAAAACATATTTTCTGTGGAATAAAAAGTTCAATAAAATGTATTTCAAGTTATGTATAACAATTATATTCTTTGAATACATAACTCCCTCTAGAATTCTATGCTAAATTTCAAAAGTACAAAAGATGTTAACATACTGAATACATCATTATTATTTATAGGAAACAATGAGTAAAAGTGTCAAGTCATCTGATAACCATAAGCAAGTTATTTAACTTTTCTGAACTTTAAACTTCTTCTCAGAAAAAGAGGGGATAATAAAATTCCCTATTTTATGAGGATAACATGAGAATTAATGGGCATGTTGCGTACCTAGCACACCATCTGATATTACGTGTTCAATACTGGCAACCCTCCCAATATTGCATTAATCTTACCAAGGATTATGTAAAGCCAATAAAAATTTTGCTATTTATAGAGAGGTATTCTTAATGGCATACTAAATTACTTTTGCTACAGTATTAAATAAAAAAAGCCTGGTAAATGTTACCCATGCAAATAAACGTATCTAGCTTCTTCAATGCACAGAGAGATGCTGAAAAGGAAGTATGCTAAATACTATAGGATTATTTCTATTTGGTGGATCACAGTGAATTACAATATTCTTCTTTATAATTTTCTACATTTGCATAATTTACACAGTAGATATTATTAGACTTGTAAATAGGCTATGAGATAAATACTTTGCCAGTGTAGTTACTGTCACTGCACTCATATGACAGGGGTAGCGACAGCAGCCCATGAGGGCTTGGCCCCAGCCCCAGACCCAGGTTGTTAGATGCTCTCGTCTTTCATGAGAACCATCCCCTATGGCTAAATAAGCACAGACTAGAACTCTAACATTCTGAATGTCAACCGTTAGTCACAAAGCCTATGTCAGAAGGCTCTTTGGAAATCCTTTGGTTCACCTGAGTATGTGTTGTTCAAACTGACTCCTTGGCAAAAGCACAAGCTACCATGTCAGGGACTTCTGGAGCTCCTTAGGCAAAATCTCAAATGTTTTCTATGTGAATACTAAGGATTTCTCTCCATTTTTGAGCCAACTAGTGAGAGATAATTAGTTCAATTGGGATTGTTTGTATATACCTATTTAAATCACTATAGGCTGTTCACTTTTAAAGAACAACAAAACTTGTATAAGTTAGAAAAACGTAAATCACCTCTTTCAACCTTATCATTTAGAGATTAAAAAAGCGAGGCCCAATAGCTATCAAGGTCTTGTCTAGCAGTCTATGGTGCTGGTAGAACTGAAACACTCCTACCCAAACTCTGTTCCCTTATGGTTCCATGGATGTACCATAACCCTCCCCTTTAGAGAGACTTCTCACATCAGACACTAAGAGCTGTTTTTGTAGGATATGATAGGTTTTACTGTTTGACCATCCACTAAACATGAAAATAACAATCACTAAGCCAAATTTTAACAACAGTCTCCCCTTCCCCTCTCAGCCTTATATACACGCACCAACACTGGTAAATGTTTCACCACTAACAACACAAGGACAAATGGACTAAGAAATAGGTAAGTCAGTGTTTCAAACAGCAACTGATCAAGCACATAGTCAATGGTGTAGATCAGAGACACAGAAAGACAACAAAATTAAAGCACTCAGGAGAGCCTTTAAATTCAGATGGTAAAAAAGAAAAAGTTGCTTTGGTATCTTTCAATGAAAGCATCACAAAGGAGGCTGAGGTGGTTCTTGTGTTATAAACCTAGAGATCTCATTTGAAGATACACAGATTTCATTTCAATCTTTTTCCCAGGGGTTGTAGAAGCTGCTGCCAATCTTTTGTCACCATCCATCAGAACTGTTTACAATAAGAGAAAGAAGCAAGCTACCTAGTTTCATAGAAGTCATCTAAGGCATAATCTATGCCCAAAGATATACCAATAAAACATCAATCTGCTTTTCTCTCTTAGAAGCACTGTATCTCTCTGCAATGTGTCCCTGACCAGGTCAGGGATAAGCTATATAATTCTTGTTTTCTCAACACCTCACAAAGCAGCCTCACATCTAAGGTCCCTAACCAATTAAGAAAAGCAGAATGGAAGCAAAAAAGCCTCATCTCCTCCCCCCCACCCCCCCCGCCCATGGGCTTTTGTGGCCAAAGCCTTGTTGAGATGAACCCAATTTCTCATCATCAAAGGCAGAGAGGTACCTTCAGGTACATTTTAGCCAGGTCACTGTCAGGCATATGCAATCAGCTTTCAATAGAAAAAAATGTCTGAAACACATACATTTTCTTTTTTATTTTTACTAGTACATTTGTAGTACACAATGATTGCATTTATCATGGAGAGTTGGCATGTGTACATACGTATTTCAACTCTTCTCTCCCCTATCCTTCCCTTACCTCTCCTCTCCCTCCAATTCTCAGGCCCCATTACATTTTCAAAAATCTTTGTTTCTGTTCTTCTTCCTTCAATTATTTTCCTTTCCTTCCTTCTTCCTCCCTTCCCTACTCTATCTCTGGTTCCTAAGCCCATTTGAAAAGCTCTCCCTACTTCCTATTATCGATCTTTTATTTTGCTACTTTTAAATCAAACATAAAAGCATACTGGATATTCGGTGAGGATTAAATCAATGGTTATTTAATCATTTGAACCTCATAAAAATTATAAAAAGTTTTCAATAAATTAAACATAAATCAGAGTTCTCTACTAGAATGTTGTCAGTGCTCAGAAAAATAGGACATGGTAGACCTCAAAAATTAAAAGAAGGAAAGCATACTGAATCCTAACAAGTATTACTTTTAAAGAATGCTAGCTTTTATGCAATAATTTAATTTGGATCCTAGTTTTATAAACTTTGCAAGGAAAGATTTTCTTTCTTATTTTCCTCTTTTGAAAACATATTACCTAATAGACACTAGCCAGGGGCAAGTAATCTCACCCCAGAAGCAGAAAAATACCCTGACTCTGGCCTCCACGGTCATGCGTCATTTTTTCTGATGAATCCAAATGGCTTTGTCTTAAATGCAGATGTTTACAGAGATGTGGTCACCCCTCCACCACCTGCCTAGGTTAACTCTGCCTGCCCAGAAGCTCGTAAAGGCCCTGGCAGGGGAGGGCCTCAAAATTTGTTGGATTAATAATAGTAGTGATCTTTCCAAAAAAGAAAAGCTACAGGGGCTTCTGCAGAGGCTCTTCCGGACTTTTGCCTATGAGCCTATTTCTGCAAAACCAAGTGCTGGCAGGATTCCCAGAAATAATGAAAGGAATCCCTTACCATTTTAGAGAGTTCTTTGTTATGGGGAGAACATGGTCTGTCACTCTCAAATTCTCTGTATGACAAAAAAGGCTCATTTATGCCTGGCTTTTTGAATTGTCTTACCAGGATATCTAGAGTCCACCGAGGAGAAAAGGAGTTATCATCTGATTTTAAGCAACAAAAGCCAGTAGCACCAAGCCGCTGTCTTGAATCTGCCCTTACTGCATTCATCTCTTACTGCCAATTCCAGCTGGCTCCCTGTTCCCATCCTGCACATGCCCTAGGGATGGCTATGGATTCTATCGACCTTTATAGCCCTATGGAAGATGCTCTGAGAACACTACTCTCACTGAAGTCCAGAACTCACTGACTTTACTACATTAACTCTAACTCCTGTGTGCTTATAAAGCAATACCAAAAGAAAAAAAAAAACAACTGTGATTAATTATTAGTCATATGAGGGACTATCTTCTTGCTTCAAAGGTAAATTTTTTAGGAATATGAAAATGAGACCCTGAACACATAAAGTCACACAAGGCCAAGTGAGGACTTTTAGATCATAGTGATTTTTTTTCTCACCATCTACATGAAATTTGGTGTACAGAGCTTACCATGTGCCAGACCAAGCATTTTAAATGTTGAAATTCATAATACATAAGCAATTTTCTGTTCACAAACACTTTATTTTTATTTTTTTATTTTTTATTTTTTTTATTTTTTTACTGCAAAATGGACAGTGGACACATACCAGAGCCAGAACCAGAGGCGGCTACATCACAAATCAGATCTTTAAGGGTTTTTCCACCATTTGCCAGGTTACATTCAGAGAGCGCTTCCTCCACATTCTGCCTGTGTGTCCGTCGGTAGCTGCACTGTCGGCCTTGGCATGCCCACACCGTTAGCACAGCAACTACGGACAGGAGGCAGACAGGCACAGTGACAACGATGGCCAGCTCCATGGATCTGAGTTTGGAGCTGTCTGGTGAGGCTGCAGTTAAAAAAAAAAAAAAAAGACACAACAACCTTAACTTAAGCCATCTTAATTATTTTAGAAATCAGAAAGAAAATTACCAGGGTTTCACAACTAGAATATCCAGCGGCATAGTGTATGGCCTGCAAAGATTCTGAGATACAATAAGCAAAAACAGGGAGAGCTGAGATTAGTTTGCAGCAAGGAATGTGTATGCTGGTAAAATGTAGAACTAGGGTCAAGGAAATGCAGTGGCATATAAAATCCTTGTGTAAGCCTTAGTGCTGCACATTCTTACATATCCTGTTTTTTCACCCCTTATTCAACAGCATGTCCGCAGAGCCCTACACTCACTCATTGATTTATTCATTTATTCACGCCCCAAATAATTGCTGGGTTCTTGCAATGTGTGACACTAGGGTAAGAAGAGTCCAAATCCTTCCTCTGAGGGCATATGTTCCCATATACATTGCTAAGCAGACAGACATGTGACTAAGGTAAGAGGGGTAAGTGCAACAAAGATGAAAAGCAAGATGGCAATTGAGATTCAGTGGTCAGGGAGGCCTGTGTGTAGAGGCACAGACACAAGGCCGAGAGCTGGGGAGGAGCAGCACAGAGGACAGGCTGCAGTGCAGCTCACCCAAACCAGTACAGAAAGAGCAGATGCACACAGCTTCAGGGGTTATGGCCCAAGGAAAAGGCTGAGATGGAGCAGGCCTTTGGAAACCTGAGAAAGGGTGGGAACTTGACTGGCCACACCATCCTCACCCTTCCTTTCATGCAATCGAAGGTGCCCCATCCTAGGACTGGAGAAGCCACCAGCTTGCTACACCACAGGAGCAGGTCTGGAAGGCAGGAGAGTGCTGTCTGCAGAAGGACACAAGGGCACAGCACCACTCCAGCTCTCACACTCACTGCAGGCCACAGAGCAAGTCACAGCAAAAGAACCAGCTTAAGCGCAGGACACACATCTGCCCCCTACACTCATCCGCAGAGGACTGGCACTCAGCCGCCCAACTGCTCCAGTCAAGTTTTTCCATCTGTGAATATGGGGAAAGGCATGCTCACCAAGTCGTGAATGCAGTGTATATATAGGGCCTACTCAGCCATAAAGAAGGAGAAATTTAAGAGAACTCATGTTGTATGTGTGTGGCGTCTCTCTCTCTCTCTCTTTCTCTCTGTCTCTCTGTCTCATATGGTAAATTGAACACATTGGTATATATAAAAAGGAGTCTAAAAATTCATTTGAGCTTTAGTTGATAAAACTCTTAAAGACATAGGCAAGAACTTTCTGAACTGAACCCTAATTACACAAAGAAATAGTACAGAAACTATAGCAAATTAAAGTTTCTGTACAGTACAGCAAACAACGAGCAGAGTAGAGATGATCTACAGAATAAGAAAAAAAAAAGCATTGCCAGCTACTCTTCAAGCAGAGGACAAATATTTAGAATATATGAAGGAATCAGGAGCCAGACATGGTGGTACATGCCTGCAATCCCAGCACTTGGGAGGCTCAGGTAGGAAGACAACTGTGAGTTCATGGCCAGCCTGGGCTACATCAAGGTCAGCTTCAACTACAAAGTGAGACAATGCCTCAAAAACAAAAAAAGAAAATTAAACTCCATCAGTCAAAAAATAGAAAAATGATATGAACTGACATTCCTTAAAAGAAGTACAAATAGCCACTAAGTATAATGAAAAAAATTTCAGCATCACTGACCGTTAGAAAAGTACAATCCAAAACACTGAGATTCCATCTTACTCCAGGTAAGCATGGCTATTATCAAAAACAAACAATTGTTGTTGGGAAAAAGGACCCCTTCCACACTGTCATAGGAAGGTAAACTAGTACAAACAACATGGAAATCTGTACATAGGTTTCTCAAAAAACTATAAAGAGAATTCTATTTGGCCCAGAGGTACCTCGTCTGAGTATTTTTATGAAAGAGTTAGTCATACAACAGTAACACATGCATATATCCATGCTAATGGCAGCACAGTAGTTACATTATAGGAGTAGCCTATATGCCCAGCAATCACAGCAGGTGAATAAAGAAATTTGGTATAAATACATACAAGTTTACTACTCAGCCATAAAGGAAGATAAATTTGAGCCACTTGTGAAGGGAAATGGATAGATCTTGACAAATCAGACAACTTGAGTGTGTCAACTTGAGTAGTTAAAAGCTGAACTAAACTGGCTCAGCCATTCCACACCCTCGGGCTTAGAGGCCCCTCCCTAGACTGTGGAGGTTCTACCCTAGAGTGACTCATCACTTAAAGGGAACAGAGGAAGGATGGAGTGCTCCACTGTGGTCTTCACAGTCAGCATGGAAGGGAGAGAGGCTTGCTAGAAGTGGCAGTAGCTGCTTCTACCTTTGTTCTTTGCTGTTTTCCATCATCAGGAACAGTTGTTCTCTGCCATGTGCTACTCTGCCTTAGAGCCAGCTGATTATGGACTGAAACCTCCACTAACTGTGAACCAAATAAGCTTTCCTTCCCTAATTTTTGGTGTCAGGTATCTTGTCCCAGCAATGAGTGAAAAGCAACTAAAACACAATTTGGTACCAGGAATGGGGCCATTGCTGTGACTCTACTTGACAATGTGGGTTGTGAGCCTTTGGGAATGACTTATGGGAAAAGATAGGGAAGGTTCAGAGATGTTACCTGAAAGAGAAGCACTAGAACAGCTTCAGCTGTTGTGTATGGGAGATTTTTGTCAGAGCTCAGAAGACCAGAATGCTGATAGAAATACTGCCTATAAAGACCAGGCTGGGGAGGTTTCTGCTGGAAAGAAGGACTGCATTGGTCGTTGTACTCCAGATGATTTGTATTATGGATTGGCAGAAAGTTTGTCTGAATTTTGCTCCTGTCCAGAGACTTTGCCTGAGACTGAGATTAAGCACATGGACTATTAATCGTGCAAAAGAAGCCTCAAGGCAACTGAATGTTGAGGCAGTGGCATGGTTATTGTTGGGAACTTTTAGTCAGATAAATGTTGGAAGTGTTTCACTTGGGATTTGGACTTTTCGGCAATGCTGAAAAGGACTTTGGCAACTCTTGCAAATAGACTAAATACCTTTTGTGCAAAGGATGTGCATGACTCTTTGGGTTCCAAAGGGCAAAAGTTATCGTTCTAGTGTAATACAATGTGGATAGGTCTTAATACTGGTTCTTAAGGATTATTAAAGCTGTGTTATAATGTCTCTGTTGTAAAATGTTAAGAATAAACAAAAAAACAAACAAAAAAAAGATATCAAACACCTTTCTGGGAGATGGCTCAGTGGAATAAGCACTTCCCTGGCAAACACAAGGGCCTGAGTTCAATCCCCAGTTCTGCAAACAAACAAACAAACAAAAAAAAAAGATATAAAATGTTAAGAATAAGCATGTCTTTGTACCTGGAAACTGGTTTAAAGAAATGTGTCTAGTTGCCAAATTGACAACTAGTGGATTGTTCTGGTTGATACATTCTGTCAACTTGAGAAGTTTAGAAGTTTAAATTACTCAGCAGTAAAACAGGGCTTTTACCTTGTAAACATCCTCATCCTGTGCAAGAGGAGGGCATGGAAATTCTGAGTTCTACTCCCCTACCTCAGAGTAGCCTGCTTATAATATGAAGAAATGACAAAGGCAGCTGCTACGGTTCCTCCTTTGCTCTTTGCTGTTTTCTGCCACCATAAGCTGCTGCTTTTTGCCATGTACCAGTCTGCCTTGGAGCCATCCAAGTATGGACTGAAATCTCCACTAATTGTGAGCTAAATAAACCAGTAATAAATCATTAATTTGAGGTGATGGGTATTTTGTCCCAGCAATGAGAGAAGGGTAATTAAGACAAAGGTTAAATATCATGTGTTTATCCCATATGAAAGATCTAAAGTAGAATTCAAAAAGAGATGTTTGGAAAGAGAAAGGTAGACTCCATAGGGATGGAAAGGGGTGTGGAGAAAAAGGGGAAGGGGAAGGAAGTAGGAAGTGGAAGTCAAATGAGGAAGTGTGTGTATGTACAGATTCCCTGGGGTGGATGTAATTACTCTTCATTACATGCACTAAACATGTACTAAAAAGAAAAACCAAAATGAGGAACCACTTCAGGTCCTTGGGCAGGAATGAGTTCCCAGGAGAAAACAGCAAGGATATATGACCTAAGGGGCCATGGGTCAGAAGCACACATGGCAAGTTTGGGATCATCTTCTGCCTGAAGTGCAGTAAATGAAGGAAACACACCAAAGACTGGGTCAAGCAGGTAGGAAAGGGAAATACCATGTGGAGGCTTGTGAGCAAAGAGAAGGGCTGTGAATTCTATTCTGGGCGGATACCATGGGGTTTGGGGCAACAAGAGATAGGATTTACATTTATTCTTAGTGTCTGTCTTTGCATGGACAGCAGAAAAGCAACAATAATGACGAAGACCTGCCAGGTGGGAGGTGAGGAGCTTAGCTGACACCTCCCTGTGCTTTCTCCTCCTTCCCCATCACTCTGCAGGCACCTTTCCTCCTTCATCCTAACTCCTGGGTCACAGCATCGCTGGTCACATCATACTCACTGATTTATTGTCTAACCTTACTTTGTGAAAGGAAGAAGTCAGCCTTCTGGTTCTGAAGCACTGTGGCCTGGCACATAACAGATGACCAGTAAGTAGTTCTAACAGAGTAGTATCACAAGAGCTCCAGTTTGGCTCCTAACAAGTAAAGGCTGAGACTTTCTGTCCTCCAAAAATAAATGTAACAGGCCTGGGGATACAGCTCAGTGGCACAAGCACCTGCCTGGCAAGCACAAGGTCCCGAGTTTGAGCCTCAGTATTGCAAAGATATAAAAGATAAATGTGATTACTAACATCAAATAAGGATAGAAATAGAACTGCAGTGCAAATTTTTAAAATTATATAGCATTTGTCCGAGGATGTAGCTCATTGGCACAGTGCCTGCCTAGCAAGCATGAGGCCCCGAGTTCAATTCCCAGTACCAAAAATAAATAAATAAATAAATAAATAAATAAATAAATTAGATCCAGTG